GTGTGTGTGTGTGTGTGCGTTCGACGGATATAAGAGACATTTGAGTCAGCGCCAATGGGGGTTTTTCTGTGGTGCCTATCTGCCACCCTGATAAATGATTGGATGTCAAATACCTGCCAATAATACTGCTGGTGTTGTTGTAGTAGTTGCTGTTGTTGTGGTTGTTGTTGTTGTTGTTGTTGTCGTCGTCGTCGTCGTCGTCGTTACTTTAGTTGATTTTGCTCCTTGTGTAGTTTGATTCTTCTGTTGCTGTTGATGTTACGATTCTTTCGTGGCTTTGCTTCTTTCTTGACATTTTATTTTGATATATGCGTTTGTTAGTCCCTATGCATTGTTTTAGGGGGGGGGGGGGTTTCTAATGTAATAACGGAGGGGAGTTGAAGTTTGGAGAGGGATTTGCAGAAATAGATGTCAAACATACATTAACATCGCCTGTAAAAGACAATGACCGGTTTTAACAGCAACTGCCCATTTTTCCTTCTGCATTAAAAAAAACCCAACAACTTTCTACTAACAGTGAATGAAGTCCACCTGCTTAAGACGGTCATTGTCTAAGACAATCACCTGTCTAAGACAATCACCTGTACAAGACAATCACATTTCTAAGACAATCACATGTACAAGACAATCACATGTCTAAGACAATCACCTGTACAAGACAATCACATGTCTAAGACAATCACCTGTCTAAGACTTTCACCTGTCTAAGACTTTCACCTGTCTAGGACGGCCACCTTTCTCCTAAAAAATGAGTGACCGTCATAAACTATTTCAGCGGTACTTGTCGCTGTCTGCGCCTCTTGCAACACGGTGTGGGCCGATCGGAGAGGGGATTTGGGGGCGCGGCAGGGGGAGGGGGGTGTAGGGGGTCAGAGTTTCTTGTTTAATATTGAAGCTCCAATGCTTTGTTAGTTTTGTTTTCCAGATTGTATTGTTTCCTTTCGTTTAGCATTGTTTCATATTTTTGAAAATGTTAGCGTAAGGCGGAACGTCTTGTATCATTTCATCGTTCCACGAAAAATTAAGAAACAGTTGAGAGGAAAACACAAAATATTCCGGTAGTTTCGGATTTCGAAATAAGATATTGTTCATGGGAGATCCAGTACCTTTGCTCTTTACTTGAATTTAAAACCGTACGCGAAATTCTAGAGTGCGACTTAAAAATATGAAGGATCAAGAAGCCAGTGATTGCCATACGAGCGGGCACGTTAACAAAGGGTTCGGTGTTCTGTGCGCAGAATAAAACCCACAGATAGAAGTATCACAATACACTGCACAGGCTTGTTTAACACTTCTCTGACTGATGGGGCGCCTTCTGTTTTCGAGAGGTTAGCGAACACAATTGAGTGCTAATTTTTGGGGGAGACCTTGGATATCAATATTTTGCTGAATATATATCATAGACTAGAAGGTCTTTGCTTTGTTTTGGATGGGCTTTTATTGTTGTTGTTGTTGCTGTTGTTGTTTTTGGTATGGGTTTTCTATATATTTCTTTTTGGAGGGGGTGGTTGTTCTGTCTTGTTGGGTTTTTTTTTTTTTTACACATAAGCCATTGTTAACATTTCAATGATTCCACAAATGCGCTCACGATACCATTGGATGAGGAAGACATTGATGTCAGCACTCAGCAAGCTTATTTAACCCTAGCCGTACGCCCGGGTGTCATTTTGTACTCCCAGGGTTGTATTCTTCACATTTTAGAATACTTCTAGTACAAAGATTTCTTTGAAACTTTTAGTTTTTCTCAAAAATCATTTTGACAGACTGCAATGCAAAGCGTATGGATCGGATTAATGACTAAATTGCCTCTTTGGAAAGTGGTGGCACAGAGTTGCCCACGTCTTATGGATACGATAGTAAAACACGACGTACGGATTGGGTTAACTCTTTATTTTACCTGGTATTTCTTGTAATTCAATTCTTAAGGAATACTCCAATGTTACACAGAGTTACAATTGTTCTTATTGTTTTTATTTTCGTCCAAATATTTTGAACATGGGAGACGTCAAGACTTAATCAAGCAATTCTGAAACATCAAACTGGTGTACCTCTAGAGATAAGAATCTCGCATCAGTTCACAAGAGCTCAAGCGTTGTGTGGAATTGTTTATTATTCGTTTCACAACCCTCCCTCCCCCCTTCCCTCTCTCTCAATCTCTCTCTCTCTCTCTCT